CCAGGGGTCTGTCCAGACATTTTGTGAAAGGTCCGTTTTTCGTGAAATTGTGAAAAAATTAGTCACATTCTTTCAACCAGGGTCCGCTTCTGTGAATTTGTGCGAATAGGGTCCGTTATTGCAAAAAAAAAACTTTTTCAAGGAGTTTTTAAATTGTAAAGACATACAAGATTATGCTCAGCACTGTAAAATTATAATTTAAAAAATTTTAATTTTCAAAAATAAACAGCAATTGCTGCTTCTAAATTAGAGATGCAACATACAAATATTTGATAACTAGCCTATACTTCTGAACGTTGAATATTCATTTCGGACGAATAATGGAAGAATCTTCTGCCGAAGACAGGACTTAATTCGTTTACTTCCATCTTTCTTGTTTTCTGCCCTGGGAAGGGTTTATTCAATTAACAAAATAATAATGAAGATGAACAAATTTGTGAAGGGTCCGATTAAAAGAAAAATCATTTTGTGAAGGGTCCGTTGTGAAGGGTCCGTTTTTATGAAAAGATATTTTGTGAAGGGTCCGTTAACGGACCCAAATTTCTTCTAAACAGAACCCTGTTTTAACGATAACTATTTAATGACTATTATATAAATAATTCCTAGAAACTGAACCGGTAAGATATTGCCTGATTCAAAAAACGTTATCTGCTACAAAAATATGCAGAAAAGTTGACATGTTTCAAGCTCTTAAAAGTAGGCACTGATTCTCAAGTCTTGCCAGACGTGAATGAGGAGAGAAAAAACTGATTATTTCCACCCCAGTCACATCAGCTCATCTTGATTCCAAGGAGTCTTGTTTCATTCATGTAGATGTTGATTCCCATATTAACGACATTAGTTCTTCTCTATAGCGCCTGGAAATGCATTTTATCCTGATTTGCCCTTTTAGACTACCGTGGTTTTTTTTGTTCTGTTTTGTCATTTTTATTTTTGTTTCACTCTTGGCTACTGCGATTTTCTTACTTTTGTTTCTCACCTTTATATTTAAAATCACTTTAGTATCTTCTTATTCATGTCACTCAAATTTTGAGAATTGGCCTCTATTTTTGAGCACTTGAAACCTATAGACTTTTATTTCATTCTACATATTTTTGAATGAAGTAATATTTACCGAATAGTTCGAACTTAAAACAAATAAAATAAAATTAAAAAAAATTTTTCGTTTAATTTTTTCCAGATAATATATTTCAGTTTTGTGCGAAATTTAAATATTAATTAAAAAATCTTAATATTTTTTTCAACTATGTAATTTTTTTTTTATTACGTGTGTATTTTTTAAAAATTTTAGAAAAGTAATTTTGTTTTTAATTTTTTTTTCTTAATTAAAGCAAACTATTATTTACCAACAAAATATGAACTAATTTGTATTCTTTAAAGTTATAATACTGCTAAATTCTAGGCAGAATACTGCGAAACTACTGAAATGTGCTATAACATTTGTATTTGAAAACATACTAGTTTTAATAAAATGCTCTATAATGAAAAGAAAAACTGCATTTTAAAAATGTTTATGAATGTTTTCATGACTTTCAGTGCCGTTATTAAATTAAATTTAGTTAATCAATTTGTGATATTTTTTAAAATTTATATAATTAATCATTAATTTTGGAAATGAAATTTGATAATTAGTGAACAAAAATTATGAAGTTTATTTTATAAATTATAATTTAAATTTGTATTTTATGATTAAGTATGCAAAAATGAAATGTGTATTAAAAATATTTATATATAAATACCTTTAACATACTATGTATTGCAGCTTTTGATTATGTTAATCAGAGTGCGATTTATAAATTCTTTATGTAATTATAAAATTAAGTTGTGCAATACTTTATGCAAAACATCGAAAGTATGAATATGATCTAATACGATGAATATCTTCAAAAAGAAATTTTTTTTTTCACTTCTTTTTTTTTACTTAATTTAAAATGATACATCAAATAGCTTGATAATTAACTATTATTTTCACTGGCTTAAAAAACTGTTTTAATGCTTGATATTTTTTTAAAAATCTCTTCCACTTGGTTTGGAAGAAATCGATTTCTTCTAAAGCTGTTTTATCTTGAAAATATTTAGAAAGGGCTTTTTAATTTTAGGGAATAATTGGTTATTTTAAAGACACAATTATCGCCCAGATTCGAAATCAAGAATGAGCCAGCTCCCTAATTTCTTACCATCCGGTCAAACTTTGTCTTGAAGAGTTTGAAATTTATTTTAATATGCGTCAATGTAACACTTTGTGAAATGGTTTTAAAATTGGAAAAATTAGGTAAGGGGTGGAAAAACAGGCCGTTGCTTCAAGTTAAAATTTTAAGTGATTGTCGATTCAGGCAGCTATTGTTATGCAAATAACCAATCTAATCACAAGATCAATGTTAAAACAAAGAAACCTTGAACTAGATTCACTGAATACCATGATCCAAAGATCTATAGTTTCGATCCCATTTTATGATGCACGTTATATTCTGGTTTTTTTTAAAAATCGTTTTATGGCACTTTTTTGATTAAAAAAATTAAAAATCATCAGGGAAATGGCCCACTCCCCTTAATTTTATTTCTCAGTAATAAAACAGCAACTAATTCTCCTAATTTTTGATTTTAAGATCACTAACAGGCCAATTCAGATTTGAACATTTTTATGAACATGCATTCCATATTTTACATCACTCTCCAGTTAAAGTGATAGATAGCCGAGATTTCTCACCAAGCAACGGCAATATCAATCTGTCCTTTCTCATATTCGAT